AAAAAAAAAAAAAAAAAAAAAGAACCTAAGAATCTGAGCAACAAATACCTTAAACTTATTTTTTAGATTATCAAGTTCCCCTATCCCCGGAGTTAATAACCGGCCCTACACAATTTAAGAAATAGCTCAATAATCCAATGGTGCTTCGAAATATGTTGCAGACAGAGGCAGGAAAGATGCTGAAGACGATCAATCAGATTATTCTGCTCTGATCGATGGTCAAGTGAAGGTATTCCTCTTCTATTTCTTTTTGCAACTGCATGGATGCGAAAATGCAAAAATAAGTTTATAATTAGACGTCCGAATAACCATAATCCTCAACTGAAGAGAATCAAGCCATAGCAAATGTTTGATTAGTGTCTTCAACTGAAGAGAATCAAGCCATAGCAAATGTTTGATTAGTGTCTTCGTACTGAGCCTTCAACTTTTGTGCATGGGATGTATTTGGTGCTTAGGGATTATGGTCAGTTCCTCTTAGTGCATTTATTGTCATTTCATATTTTAATTGCATTGGATGTATCCGGTGCTCAGGTATTATGGCTAGCATGATTCAAGTTCCTGTGATGGCATTTATTGTCATTTTAATTGATTAAACAACTTAAAACAGACTGTCTCTATGGAAGTTGAACAAGCTATTATAAGGTTACGGTAGGGCTTTTAAGTGAAGAAAAATTGCCTATGAATTGTCGTATCTTCCAACATGGAAAATCGAAAGCAATTAGGATGGTTATGTTGTAAATAGGATGTTATTCCACTATTTGGATCCCACCCTAAGGGTGAAGATGCAAAGAAGTATATAAATAGGATCGCAAGAACTCTGACAATGGACTCTGTCCATTCTTGTTGCCGATAAATTATGTTATGGAAACAAAACTATTTGGGTTCTATTTAGCGACAGTGATGTTAAACTCATGAAGGATTATGTTTGGGACAAGCATAGTGTCCATACCATGTTTTCACAAAAAAGAAAAGAATAATTTTTCAATTTCGAAGGCGATAACGAGCGAAATTGAAAAATATTCTTTCTTTGAAAAGAGGATATGGACACCATGCTTGTCCCAAACATAATCCTTCATGAGTTTAACATCACCGGACCTTCAGATGAAACTCAAATAGTTCTGTTTCCATAAAATCATTTATCGGCAGCATGTCATCCCATGGTTTGTCCATTGTCAGAGTTCTTGCAATCTCATTTGTATACTTTTTTGCATCTTCACTCTTAGGGTGGGATCCAAATAGTGGAATACCATCTTGTTTCCAACATAACTATCCCAATTGCTTTCGATTTTTCAATGCTGGAATATACGACAATTCATAGGCAATTTTTCTACACTTAAAAGTTTTGTCCTTCTCTTTCATAAATCGTAATCTTATAATAGTTTGTTCAGCTTCCATAGAGGCAGTCTGTTTCAAATTGTTTAATTGATTAAAATCTAAAATGACAATAAATGTCATCACAGGAACTTGAATCATGCTGCCATAATCGCTAAGCAGCAGATACATCCAATACAATTAAAATATGAAATGACAATAAATGCAATAAGAAGAACTCAAACATGCTGGTCATAATCCCTCAAGCACAAGATATATCGCATGCACAAAAGTTGAATGTTCAATACAAATAAACTAATCAAATGTTTGTTATGACTTAATTCTATTCAATTGAAGATTATGGTTATTTGGATTATTCAAACGTCTAATTATAAACTTATTTTGTATTTTCACATCCATGCAGTTGCAAAAGAAAATGGAGGAGGAATACCTTCACTTGACCATCGATCACAGAATAATCTGATTGATCGTCTTCAACAACGAAGATTGGTCGCTGAGATTCTATTAGTATACCCAAAACGGGCAAGAATCCGACCAAGAAGAAAAGAAAACATAGTTTCTATTTGGTGGAAAAATAAGAGAGGAAACAAGATCTAAAAGCAAAAGAAAACATAGTTTCTATTTGTTGGAAAAATTAGTGCGTATCCTGTGCGATGCATGAATAAATAATATTAAATAATAATTATAAATTATTGATGGGGGTAAACAATATTAACTAATAATTAAAAATTAAATATGAGAGAACAATATTAACTAATAATAATAAATTAAAATGTAGAGTTAATATGTGTCATAATTTATCGTATATCAGTTGTTAACAATATAAAATTATCTTGTAAAAAATAACATAAAAAAATGTATGTTTAAATTATTAAAAACACAAAATACTATATAACGCATGTAAACTATTTAAAATTTTATATATCATTATTGAAAGATGTGAAGTCACCGAAAATTTTTCAAAAATATTTTGTAAAGAAAACATGTCCTTAGTTGCTAGGTTATTTGCTTGTAGTTGCTAGGTTAGTTGACTTTAGTTGCTAGGAAAGTTGTCTATTGCTGCTAGCTTAGTTTTCTGATGCTGCTTGGTTAGTTGTCTAATGCTGCTAGGTTAGTTGTCTGATGCTGCTATCTAATTGCATATTTACTTCTTTTATTATGCATGTTCAGTTTATTTTTCCTCCATATTTTCTTATAATTGTTCACTCTGTTTAATTTTATGTATAAATAGGGTTATAAATCCAAGCTTCTTAGCAAGGTTATGTGCTTGCCTACTGATGTGGTTGATGTTATAACCTTGCTTGAAGATGCCCCCCATAAAGTGAACGAAGATTTAAATTATAAGAAGATACAACAAGCAACGGAAAATCTTATTTCTTTCAGTCCCGATGTACCTCAATCTTCTCAGAAGAAAGATTCTTTTGAAGATAGTGAAGAAACAGCTGCTTTCTGGAATGATCCAGAAACAATTGCAGCTATTGAGAAGATTGAGCGTGCGATTGGGAAGAGAGCTGCATACAAAGAGAAGACAGGAGATGATGATGTTCCCAGTTTTTCAATGGGATGGGGGTTGTCCTCCCAGTCCCAAGAGAGTGACAGAGGTTGGGAGGACATTCTAAATGTTTCAAGGCAGTTTTCAACAGATAACAGAGATGATGATGATGGTTCTAACCCCCAACCGTCTATTGAGCCAGAGATCATAGAGAACCAACCTCTCTCTCTCTTTATGGCTGAGAAACAGAAGCAGAAGAAAGAGAGAGAGACACTTGAAAAAGAAAAAGTGAAAGAGTGAGAATCAGAAAGAGAAACAGAGAGAGAAGATGTTTCAACTTATGTTTTGTTCCCAAGTTAATAGTCCTCCATATTTCGGATTAACGTGACACATTAGTCGACTAGTATATTTACTGAATTTGACCTTATGTTGGAGTTCCTACGGCAATGACATTCAACTTGATCTGTTTTAATTTGCTTTGTAGTGCATGCTCTGAACAAGCTTCCTTACTGTAAGCTTGATTCAAGGTCTGTTGGCATTAGGGAGGGGGTTCTATTCTTGACTTACAGCAGCCTCAGTGCATATTCCGAGAAGGGCCATTCACGATTACAGCAGCTTGTACAATGGTGTGGTAGACAATTTGACGGACTAATTGTATTTGACGAAGTAGGTTATTTTGAAATTAATGTCTCTTAAGACTTCTATTATGACAAGACTTAAATATGATATAGATGATTGGTGCCCTCTGCAAGGAACAATTCTAAAACATTTTATTATTTGTATTGTAGTGTCATAAAGCAAAAAATCGTGTTCTCAAGTCGGGAGGGTAACCGACAAAGACAGGAAAAGCCATGCTTGATATTCAGGTTACCTGTTCTCTTTAAGCGTCACCTCTGTTACTACCATATTAGTATATTTAAGTTTCCTGAATCATTTGTTTGTTGTATTTTCTTTGTTGCTATGTCTGTGGTAACACTATCAATTTCGCCGTCTAGGAATACTAGATAATTTTTGTCTCTGAATTTTTTTTATTTTTTTTTTTTGGTATAGGTATGTACTGAAATCAGAGCATATGAAGAAATTTTTCGATTATATACAACTTCCAAATTTTGACATTGCTTCAGATGCAGCTGCCAAATTTTCCCCCTTAATCTCCTTTTCATTCTGCAATTTGTTGCTTGATCTTCTTTTTGCTTCATTATCTGTGCTTTATAATAGATTATAATAGAAGTCTTTCTTTTTGACTCATTGTTATTCGCGTTCTTGCTGGATTACGTAGTGTCTCCCCGTTCAATCACTAACAGGATTCATGCTTTTTTTTTTTCAGGAACTGTTGACCAGGCATAAGTCAACGGTAGCAGAATTTCTTTCCAAAAACTATGAATGGGTTAGAAATTTTCTCTTAGATGCCTTGCTAAACATTATGTTCTCGTCTATGCACTTTATCTTTAGAACAAACCCCCAGATATCGTTAGGGCGTGTTTGTTAGCCTAGAAGAGATTAGATAATTTTAATCTTTGGACACAAGATTGGGGTGTAGAGATAAATACGAACACGTGTTTGTTACGTGTGATTGAAGCAACACGAGATTATTTTAATATCCTGTGTTATGCGTTTGTCGTCCTAGATGGTAAATCGGACTAGAAGCACAATTACAAATTAGATATATTCTGCATCTTTTCATTACTGTGTGCGAGATTCTCAACGATCATATTGACTTCCATATTCACAAGTAGGAATGACAAATACATCACAGTAGGAATGACAAAAAATTGAACAAATTGGTCAACACCCCTGTTTCATTTTTCAATGTTCAATGTTGTGCCCTAGAAATGACAAATACATCACAGTAAACACAAAATTCCTTCAAATGATGCACAAAATGAAACTGGTTACCGTGTTGCCAGAAAGAAGAGTTATACTTACGAAAATTACGGGCCCTTTTTCACACAGCAGCTGAAAAAAATAACGAACGGTAAATAAAAAATAAAAGAAAAAAAATATTATCAATACCCCAATGCACAAATCAGACTTCAGCAATGGCCACCGCACGGAAGAAAATAATGAAGTAAATAAGATACTCTCATCCGTGTCTCGACCTACCTTCTCTTTTACGGGCGGAGAATGGGGAGAAAAACCTTATTGCAAGATCTGATACAGTGAAGTCAATTATTGCCGTCAAGTTTATTTTTGTTGGTAGTTGGTGGTATGTGGTACGTATGTAAATTTGGCTTGGACTGAGGTTAATTGCGTCTGAAAATGTTACTTTTAGGGCCATTGTAGGCATTTCCACACATAAAGAACTGTGCAGATGGTACTCAATCATACCCCCTAGGCCCAGACCCATTAGTCCCCGTAAAGCGCGATAAAACCACTGTGCATCGCGGGCCTGATCTAGTCCAGCGGGCCGTAATCTTGTAAAACAAACTACCGATTATGGGCAGATTATGACTTCAATGATGTCTCTTCTAGGCTAACAAACACGCTCTTAGTATTCTCATTGCTAACCGAAACAAGCTATTACGTCTCTTTGCTGATTTTAAAACCGAGAAAGGTGCGTGAGGAATAATATTCAGTATTCAACATATCTCATATTTACCTAATCACGAGTTTGGGTTCCGTTTGTTGCAGAGGATGAACAGTTTGAGGCTGATAAAGCGCAAGTAGTTAAAGAAAGGGTTAATTGCAAATAAAATCTTAACCTTTTGTCTAATTGCAAATAAAACTCAACTTTTTCAATTTGACAAAAAAAATACCAAACAAAGAATAAATGTTGCAATTGTGTCTCAATCACCTTCCGCCATCGTCGGACCGCCACCCGCCGCCGGCCAACTTCGCCGAATGTTGAAAATTTTTACATGATCTTGTAGCTCTCTTCCGTGCCGACAACATATCCGAGTTTTACGAAAAAATTTAGGCAATAAGGCTTCCAATTTTTCGATCAAAGCTCGTAGATCTACAAATTTTCTCCGGCGTTCTTTCGTAAATTCCTGGTGACTCGCTTTGACCCACGTGAATCCGAAGGTACCTTTGAACTCCTCTCGCAAAGCCGCATCTAGTGACGTCCACCTTCGCCGGACCGGTGACTTTTTCCAGTGACGACTTTTCCGGTCATCTCCTTATCGTCGGAATTTTTTCGTGAAACTCGGATATGTCGTCGGCACGGAGGAGAGCTACAAGATCATGTAAAAATTTTCAACATTCGGCGAAGTTGGCCGGTGATGGCGGAAGGTTATTGAGACACAATTGCAACACTTATTAAAGATTTGATAATTTTTTGTCAAATTAAAAAAATTAAGTTTTATTTGCAATTAGACAAAAAGTTAAGATTTTATTTGCAATAAACCTCGCGGCACTTGAGCCTAAAGAACGTGCATGAATCAAAGCTTTGATTTGGTTCATCGGCTCCGATGTAAAATCCTGTACCATTAAATCCTGGTTGTTATATTTATTTCCTTTTTTTTTTTTTTTATCTATTTCATGTAATTGTTGATGTTAAGGCTCGAAATGGTGAAAATTCCGACGAGAGAGAGCTTTGGAAAAGTGCTGGCCTCCATTTCATTGTTAAAAGATAACAATTCTGCACATGCGGGGAATAAAACATTCAAAATTGTTTTTCAACAAGAAATAAGAGAAATTTTTTACGTTTGTAGTGATGCATGAATTGCTACAGCAGGGGCGACCTTTCTTATGTTGCCGTATTTCATGTAAAATTTGTTGGAATGATACAAAAGAACTTTTAACTCAATTAATGATGAATTTTAAATTAATTTTCAAAATTGATTTAGGGCTTTTAGAGTCCATGGCGAGACGAACAAAGTGAGGTATGACTTGTCGATTTCTGAAAATTGATACCTCTAAAATCGATCCACGAAGATAGTAGGAGCACTTGTGTGTAGAAAAAATTTCAATTCAAGTTTTTTGATAATCAAGATATCCGATTTTCGATTGGGAGGTGTCATTTGAATAGGGGTGAGCATGGGTCGGTACGGTTCGGAGATTGATAAATCTCCAGAACCGTCTATCAATCTCCGAACCGTACCGAAGTTCGGAGATCACTAAAATTCGATCTCCAGAACCGTACCAAAAATTCGGTTCGGTCGGGTTTGGAAATTTTTATTTTCGGTTCGGTTCGGTTCGATTTTCGGGACTATCGGAACGGTTCGTTTGGTTTGGTTCGGTTCGGATATTCGGAGATTTCTTATCATTTTTTAAATTTTGAATGACCACTTAGTTATATTTTAGTTTTTAATCCAACATTCATCAATATTTCATCATACGAAAGATTTTATTTTTAAATAAACTTTAGAACTAACCCTAAATTTTAGTTATGACTAAATTCAACTAATATTGAAAATTTAAAATTCAAACAAAATATAATACAGTTTTATATTAAAGTAATATTTATTTAACCTTCCATACCATATTAGTTATAAGATAAACTAAGGCTAAGTATCGACAAATTTAAGTAAAGCTTAATTTTTTTTTTTAAATGTTTAACCTCTCATTCCATTTTATTTTATTTTTTAAACGTGAGAAATTCAATTGTATATCAAGTATTACTAAACATGAAATGTAAGTGAATTTTAATTGTTATTACTGTATTTTTTTTTGCATTTTAAAATTCTCAAATTATATAAGATCAAAGTTGATATAAAATATATTAATAACACACATCTATTTTTATAATTTGGTTTTTAATTTAGGTTCTTCGGTTCGGTTCGGTACGGTGCGGTTCGGTTCGGTTTTCGGTACGGATATTTATGAAATCTCCAGAACCGTACCAATTATTTTTTCGGTCCGGTTCGGTTCGGTTCGGAGAAAGTCAAACGGTCAACAGATATTTTTCGGTTCGGAGTGATTTGGGTTCGGTTTTCGAAACGGTTCGGAATTCTCCGAGTCCATGCTCAGCCCTACATTTGAAAGCTTGTAGGACGAGTTTTCTATCGAAATAAATCTTTTGAAAATCTAACGGTCGGATTTTGGTTAGTAGCCTAAGAAAAACTAACTATTGATCAGTAATTTTCTAAATACTGATCAAATCCGAACGTCGGATTTTCATAAGATTTGCGTTGGATTTTTTTAAAAAAAAAAGTCCCTAAATTACTTATAATATTTTTCCTTTATATTTTGGATACCATAAAATTATAATATTTTAGAAATTAATTGTTCAATTTTGTAATTGATTCGGTCATCTGATCACAGAACCGGCTTGAGTACAATGGCTTGACTTAATTTTTGTTACTGGATTAAAAACAGTTATTATGATCTGTTTATCTGGATAAATTAATAAGCAAATCTAAAATCCAGTCTCATGATCTGTGGTTAGAATGGTGCCGCCGTTGGATTATTTTGTCGGCCAAACGATCACAAATCACAGCTGTCGTCACACGTGTCATCAGATTCTTTTCTCCGACCACTTCACCAATTGGACCTTGACAGTCTATGTCCCACGCCCACTCTTCTGATATATTGTTTCAAATATTTTAATATTTCAATTTGATTTCACACGTCTGAATAACAATAAATTGTTTAGTGTGTGTGGTCAGTTTTTATGTCATCACTTTATAAATAATTTGATAGCCATCAAATCAAATGAATATTATTTTTAGTTACATAAAAATGTATTATTATTACCGCTAATTTGTACATCATTAAATATTTAAATCTATAGCTTTACCAATTGAACAAGAGATTTTATATGTACATACTGATCTCATATCTTTATTCAGAAACACAATTATGATAGCATTTTAAGAATATAGTGTCATGAAACATGTTATAACTAATATATTGATAATGTAATTATATCATTAACATATATTTTCAATAAAACCTGAAAATGTAAACTTATAATTAAACACGCTATATTTTTCAGGGTACATTCTTAAAAGGAAAATATTGTAAAAGAAAAAAAATAAAACTAAAAACGAAGCGATCATCGAGGGCCACTAATTTATATCTGCATAAAAAAGGCTATGCTACCGTGACCGACTGTATCCCAAGTTCCGTGACCGTGAGTTTAGAACATATCTGATAAACCCATTGCCCAAAACCAACCAAATGCCCTGCCCTCACTCATCTTCTATCAAACAAAAAATAATAATATTTACTTTTTATATATAAAAAATAAAAAATCATCTCCTCCTCAATAAATCCGCCATTTTTATACCTCAGACGAACTATTTTCTCTCTCCAGCGTCGGCCATGAAAATTTCTCGAAACTGCTTATAATCAGATTCTGAGCGCCTCCTCTTACTCAAATTCAAGGCCCTGTTCGCCAGCGGTTTGTATTTCAGCTCACCAGTCATGGTCTCAATCGAAGATTCTCGCTCTCACTCCCACTCCCACTCCAATCCCAACATTACCAGTCCATACTCCCAAAATCGGCCTTACTACTACTACACTCCGCCGCCGTCCTCCGCCAGAATCAGCCGATCGATGGGACGGTCCATGCGCACGGTGCGGTCCAACATCTTCGGCGCCCACGACTCCGGGCCCATCGCCGAGAAGTCGCCCAACGTCTCCGAGAACCTCACAGACTCGGTCATCGACCTCCGCCTCGATGAGCTAGCCAGCAAATCGTCTCGCAACTCGAAGAGCCCCTCGTCCTCCGACCTCGACGGTATACTCGACATCTCCACAGCCTTCAGCGACTTCTCCGCCTGCTCGAGCGACATATCCGGCGAGCTCCAGCGCCTGGCCAACCTCCCCGTTCCCGGCCCGAGCGAGGTTGCGAGCTCGGAGCCCGAGATCGAACCTTGTGCCGGATTCCTGCAGAGGGAGACGTTCTCCACGGAGATAATCGAAATCATCTCGCCGGAGGACCTCCAGCCTACGGTGAAGCTCTGCGTCGACGGCCTTCAATCGCCGTCGGTCGCCGTTAAAAGGTCCGCAGCGGCCAAGCTGCGCCTGCTGGCCAAAAACCGGGCAGACAACCGTGCCCTAATCGGGGAATCCGGCGCCGTCCCCGCCCTCATCCCTCTCCTCCGCTCCTCGGACCCCATGACCCAGGAGCACGCAGTCACAGCCCTCCTCAACCTCTCCCTCCACGAGGGCAACAAGAGCGTGATTACACACGCCGGCGGAATCAAATCCCTTATCTACGTCCTGAAAACAGGCACCGAGACCTCCAAGCAGAATGCGGCTTGTGCTCTGCTCAGCCTTGCCCTGGTCGAAGAGTACAAGCTCTCGATTGGGGCCTCTGGCGCCATACCCCCGCTTGTGGCCCTACTGATAAACGGGTCCAACAGAGGCAAAAAGGATGCCCTCACGACCCTCTACAAGCTGTGCTCCGTGAATCTGAACAAGGAACGGGCGGTTAGTGCTGGTGCTGTTCGGCCACTTGTGGGGCTAGTGGGGGAGCAGGGGACGGGGCTGGCAGAGAAGGCCATGGTGGTTCTGAGTAGTCTGGCGGGGATTGAGATGGGGCGGGAGGCTGTGGTAGAGGAAGGTGGGATTGTGGCCTTAGTGGAGGCAATCGAGGATGGCAGTGAAAAGGGGAAGGAGTTTGCGGTTTTGACTCTGTTGCAGTTGTGTGCAGAGAGCGTGACGAACAGGGGATTGTTCATCAGGGAAGGGGGGATTCCTCCATTGGTGGCTTTGTCCCAAACCGGGACAGCTAAAGCTAAGCATAAGGTTATTTTTCGAAAATATTTTGTGTGTGATTGCTCCTTTCATTTGTTATTTAATTGAATTTGGTGTATACGTTTTTCAATGCATCTTGTGAGGGAATGCGGGAATGCCTACTTTGATTTCCTATGTTTAAATTGGGTTAGCGTCAGGCATTCGTAATTTTTGAATTGGGGTCTTCGATGATTTTGCTTGGCTGAAGTAATTTAATAGTTCTGTAGGTGTTTGATTCTTTTAGAACATGTTAATTTGGTTCATGTGGGGATTGCGTTTTATTTTTAGTAATAACTTGTGAAAATATGCTGCTAAAGTATGTTGGTAATTGAAATTGATTTGAGAACATGAGGGAAGTTGCAAGAGGTTCTTGAATCACGGTGATGATATTTGAGCTTAGTGCTACTGAGCACCACAGTTTTGTTATCTCGGTAGTCTGTATCATGCTGTCTATATTATTGGTGTTGTTCTCTTCATACACAGGTGGCTACAGGCTACTGATGTATTATTTGTTTCGTCACACGATATTGAGCATATAGAGCAGTATGAATAAATTCAGAAGCAAAATTTTAATGCTTTATTTAGAGTGATAAATACTTATAATGTGTTGTTTTTATCATGGTGTTTGGCATGAAAAATGGAATGGTTAGGCATACACTTTTCCTATTTATTAAAACATAAATTAAATATGGCATTTTCCGGTGGTTAGTTCAATGAGCAATTCTTTGTTGGGCCTTNAGAGAAATATACAAGTTCTCCAAATTCCATGAGTTTAGAAAAATGAGCATATGATGGTCTCGGCCTTTGAGAAGGAAAAAAAAAAAAAAAAAAAAAACACTTGAAAAGTACTTAGAAGATCTTCTATCTAGTAAAAGAAGCTAACCTATTATTAGTTGTGGTTTGGCTGAATGATTTTTCAATTAGGAAGTTAAATCCCCGGGTTTGCTGACTGCTACTGGTGTTTGTATCTATTGATAATTTGGAATTTTCACCCTTGGTTTTGTTGTGGCGAAGTCCAAAATTAGTTGTGGTTTGAAGGATTTTTCATCCTTGGTTTAGCTATTTGTTTGGTTCAGACAATGTAAAAGGAAAATTAGATTGTCTATATTCTATCTTGTGTATGTTTTTTGCTTTGCTCAACATGTTTTTTATCAACCTTTTTTTTTTTACGGTTTTCGCGTTTTCTTGAAGTCACGAATTTCAAATACTGCCATTCAACACATGTTTTCGTTATTAATTGTTTTTTACAATTTTGCATTTTCTTCGAGTCATGAATTTTGAATACGGCCACTCAACTCAACACATGGTTTTGTTTCAACTAAATGATAGCATCCTTGAGACGGACTCTTTTAGCTGGCCAACTTGCAAGACAGAGGTTGTGAGGAGATAAGGATGTCTAGAATCTTTAATTTAATTATTTGTTTCCTTCTAATTTTGGGTCTAATTTTGTTTATATGGTATGTAAATTAACTTAAATTTTGGATGACATAGACAAAAATATAGAAAAGTAATGGAATTAACTCCAATGCAAGGAGACTAGATCTCTACTTGAGCCTAAAATAGACTAAAAGATAGACCAGGTCTCATTTTTTGTTGCCACATCAGTATGACCCAGTCCAATTGTATTTGTATTGGAGTATATATTTTACTCAAGGATAGACCAGGTCTCATTTTTTGTTACCACATCAGACAATCCAATTGTATTTGTATTGGAGTATATATTTTTTTAGATTGAGTATATTTCCTACAATTGTATTTGTATTGGAGTATATATTTTTTTAGATTGAATATATTTCCTACGTGGCATGTATATTTTTTTGAAAGAACCCATTGTGGATGCTCTTATTATGATTATTAGTGGTATTATAGATTTGTTAGGAAACTTATTTATTTATTACTTTGTTAGTAGACTATTGTCTTGTTGCACAAGTTAGTATTAGGATTTTAAGAGTCTTATTTAAAGTACTCCTCCTTTTTTGTGTTATGCAATTGAATTTTGCAGTGTTTTAAATACCGTACCGTAATCATACCGGGCAAGCCAACAATATGCGGTTCAACCGGTTTTACCGTTTATTTTATTGGTTTCAATAAATACTAAATTAATTTGTTATTATAATATAAATAACGTACAAAATAAACTTTAATTAATACTAAGAATAATTAATATCTAATAATAATGTAAACATATTAAAATTATGTGTAGAATTCTTATTTTATATAAATAAACTAATAAAAATAAATTTAAAATATTTAACCAAAAATGGCATAAATCGGTATTTTGGTTGGTATTTTTGGTATGAAACCGGTATAAATCTGTATTTTGGCCAAAACAGTATTTAAAGTGTAACCGTCCTGGTCGGACTACCGATAATACCGGCCGGTATGGTATTTAAAACATTCAATTTTGAATGAAATAAGATTTGATATCATATTTAGGTGCTTTTGAGATTACTATCTCATTAATATCTTCTCGTACATTACCTACATAGTGTGAATTTAATGAAGCTTAGAATTCACAACCTACACCAGATAAGATAACCAAGTTTAGTTTAGTAAATACAGGATTTCCTTTTTAAACATTTTTTTTCCAGTTGTTTCTTCACTTGTTTCTCTCTCCTTTGCCATTTCTTGTTATTATTGCCTGCCTTAGCTGGAAAGGCAGTCATGTCGCGTCCTGCTACTTGGATGGGTCATTTTCTGTATTTTTTTTTGTCTTTTTTGCACGGTTATGTTACAATTTACATATCCTCTTTTGGTCACAACTCTTGAGAAATAGTGTTGGCAAGGTTGGAGTTGGAGCTAGAATAGAATTTCAGTGGGGGGAGCAACATGAAAAATTTAACTAAATAAAGAATAAGATAAACTATTAAATGAATCCTCGTTAAGAAA